TTTAATTTTTTTAGAGACAAGGTTTCTCTGCATTGCCCAGGCTAAACTCAAACTGCTGGGCTCAAGCACCATTCCTCATTATTTTTATTCAACATTATATTGGAGATCTGCTGGGGGAAGGATGGAGGGAGGAGGGTGGGGGTCATGCAACACAAAGATACCTAGTCCTATAACAGGGGGAGTGAGGGCCAGACTTCACCACATGCAGCCTACTTATGTTACTTATGTGATCAATCCTCACTTGCACTCCACATCTTTTTTTTTTTTTTAAGATGTAGGGTACAATTCAGGTTAGGTACATAAGTGGTCATTGTACAGGTAAAGTGTGGGTACCCTTATTGGTGTTATGTGCCTTCCCCAGGCAGTGTCCCACTACTGCCAATCCTTTTCTTATAGTATTATAATAATGTTCAGGGTCTACTTATGAATGTGTACATGTAGTGCTCAGATCTTTGTTTCTGTGATAAATCACTGAGTACTATAGACTCTAATTTCATTCAAGTTGCTGCAAATTTCATAATTTTGTTTTTCTTTATTGCTGAATAATATTCCATCACATAAATGTACCACATTTTCTTTATCCAGTCCACTTTTGGTGGGCAGCTTGGTGGGTTCCATGTTTTTATTATTGTGAATAATGCTGCAATGAACATGCATGTGCAGGTATCTTTTTTATAAAATGATTTGAGCTCCTCTGGATATATTCCCAGAAGGATTGCTGGTCCATATGGAAGGTCGATTTTTAGTTCTTTTAGAAATTGCCACACTGTTTTTCATAGAGGTTGTACTAGTTTCATTCTCATTGACAGTGTTAAAGAGTTCTCTTTTCCCCACATCCTCTCCAGCATCTGTTGTTTTTTGAGTTATTGATGATGATCATCCTGACTGGAGTTAGGTGGTAGCGCCTTGTGGTTTTAATTTGCATTTATTTGATGGCTAGTGAGGCTGGGTATTTTTTCATGTATCTGTTGGCTGCTGATATATGTCTTCTTCTAAGAAATGTCTATTCATATCTTTTGCCCATTTTTTTTATTGTCTTTAGCATTTTTTAAATATTTTTTTTATTTTAAAGATGTGAGGTACAATTCAGGGTTAGGTATACAAATGTTCATTATGCAGTTACCCTTGTTGATGAGGTGTGCCTTGCCTCCCCCTGGCAGTTGCACTCAACTGCCAATCCTAAACCCTCTCCCCTGAGAGTTTACCACTACTGTCAATCCCTTTCTTATAGTATTATGATAATTGTTCAACATCTGCTTATGAGTGAGAACATATTGTCACACCATTGGAATACTACAGCATCTTGATTTTTCAGACTGTTTTGCCCATTTTTTAATAGGGTTCTTTTTTTTCTCCCTTTCAGCACATTTGAGTTCCTTGTAGATCCTGAATGTTAGGCCTTTGTCAGATTTACAGTTGGCAAATAGTTTTTCCTATTCTGTGGGCTATCTCCCCACTCTCTTGATGGATTATTTTGCTTTGCAGAAGCTTTTCAGTTTGATGAGGTCCCACTTGTCTATCTTAACTTTTATGACATTTGTTTTTGGAAAGTTGATCAGGAATTGGTTGCATTTTCAATTTTCAAATGCAGTGTCTCCTGCATTTTCTAAGGTTCTTATAGTTTGAGGTTTTACACTTAGATCTATGATCCATTTAGAGTTGATTTTTGTATATGGTGATAGGTAGGAGTCCTATTTCAATCTTCTGCATGTGGTCAACCAGTTTTCCCAGGACCTGTACTGAATAGGTTCTCCTCTCCCGAGGTTGTAGTTGGAAGCTTTGTCAAAGATGAGTTGGTTGAGAAATTGAGGTTTTGCTTCTGGAATCTCTATCCTGTTTCATTGGTCTATATGCCTGTTCTTGTACCAATACCAGGCTGTTTTGATTATTTTAGCTTTATAATAGGGTTTGAATCTGGAAATGTGATATCTCCTACTTTGTTTCTTTTGCTAAGGATTGCTTTGGCTATTTGAGGTCTTTTATGTTTTATACAAATTTCTGTATTGTCATTTCCAAGTCTGAGAAGAATGATGTTGGTAATTTAATGGGTATTGCATTGAATCTGTAGATTGCCTTTGGTAGGATGGACATCTTAACAATGTTAATTCTTCCAATCCATGAGCATGGAATATTTTTCAAGTTGTTTGTGTCTTCTTTGATTTCTTTGAGCAAGGTTTTGTAGTGTTTTTTTTTTTTTTTTCTTCTTTAGTTTAAATATGTGGGGTAAATTCAGGGTTAGGTATACAAATGTTCATTATGCAGCTACCCTTATTGATGAGGTGTGCCCCTCCCTCCCCTCACAGTTTTCTTCAACTTCCAATCCCACTTCCCCTCCCCTGGCAGTTTCCCACTACTGCCAATCATTGTAAAGGTCTTTCACTTCTCTGCTTAGGAAGATGTCAAAGTATTTCTTTTTCTTTTTTTGTGGCTATTGTGAATGGGATTGTGCTTTTTATTTGATTTTTTGTCTGTTTATTGTTGGTGTATAGGAATACAACTATTTTTTTGCATTTTTTTTATACTCTGAGACTTTGCCAAAGTCTTTTGTCAGTGCAAGGAGGTTTTTGACAGATTCTCTTGGATTTTCTGGGTATAGGATCATGTCATCCACAAAGAGGGATAACTTAACTTTCTCTTTTACTTTTGGATATCCCTGATTTCCTTCTCTTGTCTGATTGCTCTAGCTAGGATTTCCAGCACTACATTGAACAGGAGAAGTGAGAGTGGGCAGCCTTGTCTTGTTCCAAAATCTTTATAGTAAAGTAAAATGTAATTTAAAAAGAAAATAACACCTTTATAATAAAATAAAATGTAATTTAAAAAGAAAATAACACCATTCCCAATTGCACAAATAACAATTTACTTAGAAATAAATGTAGCAAAATATATTCAATAAAAAACTGCAAAATATCACAAAGGGAAATTAAATAAAATATTTTAAGATGGAGAGATACATCATGTTTATGCATTGGAAGTTTCAATGCATTAAGATGGTAACTCTCAACAAATGATGCTGGATAAACAAGATAGCTACATGAAAAAAATGAACCTTTACTGTAACCTAGCACCATAAATGAAAATTAATTTAAGATGCATTTGAAACTTAATTTTAAACTACAAATATTCTTAAAGAAAACATAAAAAAGCATCTATGTAAGATGAGAGAAGGCAAAATTCTCTTGGGACACATAAAGAACTAAACAGTAGTAAAGAAAAAACAAGTCATTTCTCCTTTGACACCCTTTGTGTCAGAGGATGTGTGTTCTACAGATCAATAACAAACACATGGGATGAGCATGTCTAGCAGTCCTTAGGTTCACATTTATACACACACAGTACCCAGTTGAATGTGGTCTGTGAGCAAGGCTGTGAGGTCAGAAGGAACATGGAGTATAAATACAATTTGAGAAATGCATGAGCCAGTTCAGAGTATGTATTGACCCAGGTCATTAAGAACTCTCTCAGTTGTCTAGAAATTGGGGTATTTTTTCCAATTCCAATTCCATCCAGTTATGTGTCTCCATTTGTTCTTCCCATAGTAATCTCTCACTCCTCCTTGAGTGTAGTTTCTTTTCCCAGAATAATTTCCTCTTCTTTCTTGTCATGCATCTAGAAGCTTCTGTCAGTAATGGTTGGTAAAATGGCCTTTCAGCCACTGGACCTGAGTCCTCTGTTCTCTCAAGTCATGCAACCCTCAAGAATAGTTTATATTTAGCTCCTAAATATTAATTCCACTCAAATAATTGCCTACAGCAGGGGGCAGCAAAACAGCATGTTTATTTTGAGAATCACAAATAAGGGCGATGATATTTTTACGCTGAGTTTTTACAATGGTATTTTTTGCATGATTGTCCTTATTATTAGTATCATGTTTGTATTAATTGGGCTTCTGGATAAGCATTTTACTAGAACAAATCTACATTTTAATTCATATTGCTAACAGACTTCAAACCAGAGAAAGAAGGGAGAGGACACTGGAATATGTCATCTGGAACATATACAGTGGCTATGAAATGTGCTCAGGGACTCCTAAATAAAGCAAAAACTATTCAAAATAACACAGAGGGGGCAATAGATAAACAAGAGAGGCCTTGAGTCGGTAATCACTGAACACAGGAACATAAAGGCCCAGTATTCTATTTTGTCTACTTGGTGTATGTTTGAAATTTTCAGAATAAAAAGTAAGAATAGTAATTTGATAAGCAGCAGGATTGATTAACATAGGATGCCATAGTATATCTATGGAAGAGGTAGAGCCAGGACAGCACCAGACCTAAAGTATCAAAGAGTCAATTGTTCATCATATCAGAAAAGGATTCACACTATTGCTGTGACTGTGTTGTACTTATAATTTGCTGTATTAAAATAGTGAACATTTTTCTCCTAAATCAGGCACAATTATGATATAATAAAATTACCTTTTTAATGAACTACTGTATTTTCAGTTAACTCAAAATAAGAGTGTTAAGTATTTCTTTAAGATGCATGCCCACTTTAAATGAATACTTTCCTACAATAAGCCAATATTTTCAGCAAAAATCTATGGTTAGAAAACATTGTCCAAAAAAGTAGAAACCATTAAAGATCAGGAACAATTTGAAACACAGTTACTAACTCTGCCCTTCTTAAAAAAAAAAACAAAAATCTCACATTTTATAGAGAGCACATTCAAATTGCATGGTTTACCAAGAACTCAGAATAAATGATTACATGCAGAAAAATATATAAAAGTTATAGTGTGGCAACATTCCAGGGAGACCAGATTCCCTTTACTTGAATTTTCTCTGTAGACTATTTTATTGGAAAGATGATACTTCCTTGAACAATTGAAACAGATACGCACTGAGAAGAGGGAGAGAGACAACTCTCTGATGGCTGTCACTGAAGAACCAGAAAGAAAAGAGGCATGACTAGAAGAGTTTCAGCATCTGCTGAGAGGATATACAATCTGTAAGACAAAACTGCAACTTTCTCCAAGGCCCAGTAGGTCAGGAGGGACAATGACATCACTTCCTAAATCCTTCCCATTTTCTATTTCCATGGCCCATTTCCCCAACACCTACACTGGAAGTATCACCATCCTGCCTCTCCCTGTCATAGGTTCCATGCTTCTCTGCTGTGTAGTCTTTTGTATCCTGGGAGTAGGTGAGTTTGGGAAACAGCTGGGGAAAACCCTGCCTTATTAAGCTTCTCCCCAGAGACTATAGCAAGAGGACATTTCCTACGCTTTGTCTTCAGTTTCTGTCTTATTTCCCTACAGGAACCATGGATGCTGGTGTTACCCAGACCCCAAGGAATAGGATTACAAAGACAGGAGGGAACATTACACTGGAATGTTCTCAGACTATGGGTCATATCCAAATGTACTGGTATCGACAAGACCCAGGACTGGGGCTACAGTTGATCTACTACTCCCTTGGTGTCAATGATGTTAACAAAGGAGAGGTCTCCGATGGGTACAATGTCTTTCGAAAGGAGCAGGCTAAATTCTCCCTTTCCCTAGAGACAGCCAGCACCAACCAGTCAGCTCTTTACTTATGTGCCAGCAGTTAATTGCACAGTGCTTCTTGGCCACCTGCTCTCTACACAGAAAAGCAGGCAGTTGGGTGAGTTATTTGCTCAGAAGAGCACAGAATCCTGCCTGGGTGTGGGTGGGGGATACTTAGAGCATTCAGTGGTCCTATGCAGTGTGAGCTTCAGTCAGAGCAAAGGACCACCTTGGGTCAATGTCCCCCAGGTCATGTGATGGCCATGAAACCACAGATTACACTGAATCTATCTTTCCTGCCTACCTACCCCCTTTATCTTTTCTATATCTATTCTAATGGACTAGTACAGTGGTGACCTTTCAGGAGAATAATCTGAGCATTTGACAACGGCTCATGTTTTTTAACAAGAGCATTTCTTATGAGCTCAAATATAATGTGATGTTTATAGTTTCTCTGCCAACATCTCCATGCACTTTGCAACATCCCCCACCTCGTTCTGTTCTCACTGACAGACCCTTCATCCTGCCTACCCTTTCTCAATCCCAGTTCCTCTCAGCTCAGTGCTACCATTTAGCTCTACACTTGGTTGTCTTTATCCTAAGAACAAAGTGGCTATCTTGTTTTCTAAAACTTCACTGTAAGTAAATTTAATTATCATTAAATATGACTCAGATGTTGACATTTAAGTACCAGACTGTGACCTATAAAAGTAATTGTTCATCTGCTGCCCCACATTTTGATCTCTGTTGAGATTAATTTTAACCTGAAGGTACAGAGAGACTTGTATAACTATTTGGATGAACTGAATTAAAAAAAAAAATCCTCACTCATAAGTGAACCCTAAATATTTACCATAATACTATAAGAAAGGGATTGGCAGCCGGGCTCGGTGGCTCAGCCTGTAATCCCGCGCCTTTGGGAGGCTGAGGTGAGTGGATTGCCTGAGCCTACGGGTTCGAGACCCGCCTGGGCAGTGAGACCTCATCTCTACAATAAATCAAAAAATCAGCCGGGCGTGGTAGCGCATGCCTGTAATTCCAGCTACTCGGAAGGCTGAGGCGGAAGGGTTGCCGGAGCCCAGCAGGTCGAGACTGCAGTGGCCAGGAGCAGCCACTGCACTCCAGTCCAACTCAAAAAAAAAGACAGGGATTGGCAGTAGTGGGACACTGCAGGGGGGCTGGGGACTGGCAAATAACATCAATAAGTGTACCTGATTTCAAACCAGATGACGTGGGAAACAAAAGGGAGGGCCAAACTTTGCCTGTACAATGACCACTTGTATACCTAATCCTGAATTGTACCCCACATCTTTAAAAAATTTTTTTAAACCCTCTCTCCAACATGAAGCCAATGCTAGAAGCTCAGAGATGCCTCTCCCTGTCCAAGCATCGGACTAATCCCCAGGTTCCCTGTAGAGAGGATCCTTCTAGAAGCTAGGGTGGTCCAGGCACAAAAATATTTGCTCAAGGACTCCCAGAGCACGATATAACCATTTTCCTGAGAATTAAGTTGAAGGTTTCCTTGTGTGCTTTGTCTTCTTGTTCCATAAACCTCAATTTTTTTCAGAAAAAGAGTCTACAGGACATGGTGACTGTCCAGAAATAAAGAAACCAACTTTTCACATTTTCTACTTGTTTTCATCTAAAAAGAATACCATTTTTAAAAATCTCCTTTATGGATGTTATCTTATCTGGTTCCCATTTTAAAAACAGATTTTTCCAGCATTTCGTTTCTTGTTTTTAGTACACACTTCATCGACAGTTTTATCTGTAATAATAATTCCTCCCTTATAAGGCTTTTGAGGACTTTGAATTCTGCCCTCCTTTTTTGCTCAATATACATATTTTTCCTCAACCTCTCCGTCCATAGTCAGGGCAACTTCTATAAACTCCTGTCTGGCAAATTCCACCATCTAGTGGACTCTTTTTTTTTTTTTTTTTGAGTTGGAGTCTCACTCTGTCACCCAGACTGGAGTGCAGTGGCCGCTCCCGGTCACTGCAGCCTCGACCTGCTGGGTTCCGGCGATACTTCCGCCTCAGCCTTCCAAGTAGCCAGAATTACAGGCATGCGCTACCATGCCCGGCTGATTTTTGATTTATTGTAGAGATGAGGTCTTGCTGCTTAGGCGGGTCTCGAACCCGCAGGCTCAGGCAATCCACTCACCTCAGCCTCCCAAAGGCGCGGGATTACAGGCTGAGCCACCAAGCCGGCTTAGTGGACTCTTTTAACTAGATACTTGCCAGGCAATTCAAACTCAGAATTGATTCCTGAATTTATCATTTCTTCACCTGTGCATGTACACATTCTGGTCACACTCTACATTTCTGTCTCACTGATTAGAACAATCACTCTAGGTTTCTCTTTTCTGTAAACTTTCATACTAAATCAGTTTTCCAGTCTTTTATTTCTATATCCCACATTGTCATAGTTCAGGTTCTTGGAAAACCAACCTTGATAGGGAGATTAGTGTGTGGAGAGGTGACCAGAAAATGCCCTCACAGTACACATAGACAGAAAAGAAAGGAAGAAAGTAGGATTGGGCAGAGAGAGAGGTTGAACTTTCCTGAAGCCTCAACAATGACCTTTGCTGACCCCCAGAGAGCTCTGAAGCTGGATGGTTCTTCTGCACCATCCCAAGGCAAGGGGCCAGGTCTAACACCCAATTATCTTGTAACCATGCCATTGTACATAAGTTGCCCTGAGAAGCAATCATGATCTTAGTGGAAGAGATGCCTCTTTGGGCCAAGGCAATCCTGGGAGGGCTGACAGCATCACACATATTCCAGAATACACATAGTCATCTGATTCAGCCATTCCTTTTTTTCCTCACTGCTTCTACTTCAGTGCAGACCCTCATCATCCATTACCTAGAAATAAATGCAATGCCCTTTTCCTGGCCTACCCTCCTCTTACCCCTCTGCCTTACTGTTTCACACATTTCTACCAGTGTGATTGTGTCCGACATTCCTCACACAGCACACAAAGCTCTTCACGAACAGTTCTGTAACTAAAAATTTGGCCAGATCTGCCAAGTTCATTCCTGTACTTTAGACTTCAGCTCCACTGAATTTTTATATTTCTCTGAAAAGGCCAAGCTGAATCACACAGCTGTAACTTTGCAAAAGTTCTCTTGTCTATCTGAAATGGGCTACTTTTTAACTGGCTGGCTAACTCTCACACATCCTTTGATTCTCAGATCAAAGATAAGCTTATCTAAAAAGCTCTTACTGACTCCTATAAACAGAGAAGACTGAGCTCTTCTTTGTGATAGTATATGCCTTCCAAAGCAACCATAGTAATAATGTAGTCATATGTTCTTTTCATATTTCTTTTTATACTGGCTCTTCACAAGACTATATATTCTTTAGTTTATGAGTGACATCCTTTCAATATTATATCCCTAGCACTGAGTAAAATTTCTAGCTTAGTGAAGGAACAATAGAAGAAAGGAAGGGAGAAAGAGAGGGAGGGAGAAAGGAAAGGAGAAAGATAGGAAATTAGATTCAAATACGTCTTCAAATATTTCTTCAGGATTTTTTTCCAAGTAACATATTTTCTGGCTTCTGGGACATGTGTATTTAACTCCTTTATATCTGCCACTTGCAAGTTCATTTAAAACAAAGAAAATGTAGAAGACTGGAAAATGAGATAAAGGAGTTTACTTGACCAAAAATGTTTTGAGACATACAAGGTCCAACAATTAAGTTCGCAGACCAACCTAGAAAAAGTGCTTCATACCTCATTGCTGAGTATCACTAGGGTCACCTTCAAAGTACTCCCCTTGGGAAGCTATGCACTGACACCAGCACCTAGCCCACCAGTCGAAGCAAGTTTGGAACTCTTTTTCTGGTATGGCCATCAGAGCTGTCATTGTAATTTGTTGTGGACTGACAATTAAGTTTGCAAACTTGCTACTGTGTGCCTCCATTGGCAGCACTGTACAAATAACTGTATTGAAACACCCTCCCTACTCACCTGATCTGTCTTTTTTCTTTACCCAAAGATAATTGAAATACTTTACCCAAAGATAATTGAAAGGAAGACATTTGATGACATTCAGGACATCAAAGGTAATACAACAACAGCTCTGATGGCCCATTCCAGAAAAAGAGTTCCAAAATTGCATTGACAGGTGGACTAGGCACTGGCATTGGTGCATAGCTTCCCAATGGGAGTACTTTGAAGGTGACCATATAATATTCAGCATTGAGGTATGTAGCACATTTTCTAGGAAGAGTTTGAAAAACTTAATTGTCAGAACTTGTATGTAAAAATAATTATCTGATATTAATATTTGATGGTAATAGTTGATTGACTGAAAACTAGGGCACAGTGAACCATAATTCCCAACATATATGAGGGAACAGTCAGGAGAAATAAGAACTGTTCTCTTTAGTGGAGTCTGAGTTTCAATATAAAGCACATACAAAGGAGGATGCATATATACATGTATGTAGATATTTGTTTTGTTTTACTTTTTAACACAGATTAATACACTCATATATTGGAGTGGATCTAAAAGTACATTTTAATTGGAATATTTAATAATTTAAGTTTATGCCCAGAGTTCTAGTTTTGGTATTATGAACAAAGAAGCAGAGTTTGGAGCAAAGATGATATGATACTCTGTTTGAGGGCCTCTGACACTTTTGAATGCTGATACAGTATTCAGGGAGCACTTCATATTTGTAGGTTTCCTATCCACAGACTCAACCAATTGCGGATTTAAAATATTTTTTAAAAATAATACAAAAATTTAAAAATACACACGAAAAGCCAATATAGTCTACCTAAATTTATACAGCTTTTATACTAAATTATGTATTATAATACATAATAGTCTAGAGATGAAGTGAAAGTCTATAGGAGGGTATACGTAAGTTATATCACAAGTACTATACTATGTTACATAAATACATAATATACATAAGGGACTAGAATATTCACATATTTTGGTATCCAAGGGGGGTCCTGAAACCAATCCCCCAAGAATACTGAGAAACAACTGTGTTGAAAACATGATATTGAAGCTTATAAAAAACACTTGGTATGGGATTCAGACATGTGA